TGGCAAACTTGAGAGAAACAGGCAGGTTTCGGACCTGGATGAAGGTGCGTCAATCATGTTTTCACTCTTCATCAGGTCCTGGAACTGGCATACTAACTGGCGCCGACATCTGCCACATTTCTAGACCTGAAGGCGTCATTTGACTCTGTTGACCAAGAGGTGTTGTAGCAGTGTCTGACTATGAAGGGTATATATATATATATAATACTTATCAAAGCTCTGCACTCGAATTCACACCAGCCGTTTAAGGGCATATGGACAATTGTCATCAAAAGTGACGACAACTAGTGCTGTCCTCTTGGGATACCGACTGTCACCGTTCATATTTAACTTCGTTTTAGGCGTACTAATGGACATAACCATGGGTACCTCTAACTTCATCATAGGGATTGATCTACTCCCTGGACGTCATCTATATGACTTGGAGAATACAGATGATATTTTCTTGGTGGGTCAAGACGCTGACAAAATGCAAGGTCTTCGGAACGCGTTGAGCAGAAATCTGAGTATATTTAGTAGCATGTGTCAAATACCTCAGCTAATTGAAGAGTTGCATCAGCTTAAACGGGCTGGTCGCTGACAAAATATCAGCGCGGATGCAGAGGGCCCGTTTAGCATTTGACAACTTGTGTCTTCTGTGGCGAGATATCCGAATATCTATCAAAGGACAAATATACTGCAATGGAGTTTTTTCTGTTCTGATATATAGTTATGCGACATAGCCATTAAAAGTGTATAACAGGTTTTCGATCGCAGGTGCATTCGTAGCATTGCTCGTGTTTGGTGGAATCACCGTCGGAGTATTGTTGAGGTCAGGCAAAGGGTACTAGGTAAGACAAATAAGTGGGTCAAAGAGTTGGTCAAGCTTCACGGACTGAGGCAGCTAAAACATGTACTAAGCCTGCAGAGCCACTGTCTACCTCGACGCGCAATGCTAGGGGAAGTTGGATTAGTTTGGAAAAGGGTCCAGGGTGGCCAGGCCAAGATGTGGCATCAGTCAATGAAGCCTGTGACTGTTGGTGTGGGCCGTGTAGGGAGATGTAGACTGATTGGCTGACTGAGACACGTGAGACGATAGGAATCAATGGTTGAGGAATGTTAGTGACAGAAGTGGAAATCGGTGACAATGGTGTGGATGTCTTCACTCTTCGATGTCTTCTAAAGCTTTAACACTCACTAACGTTTATCTTCAAATTGTTTGTTCTCCCATCCACTTTGTCGACTTTGATATCACTTTTTTTCCACTCACTTTTTCTTTGTAAACTGCTGTGAAGTGTGGTAAGTTGAACCGATACGCTTGTATGTGCGGTGAAGTTCTGCCTTAATTTTGTCTCTGTTATGTAACAGGACTATTTCTTTGGAATACTTCAAGTCCAGCAGATGACCTCTGGATTATAAGTCACATCCAGCAACACCTTCATAGAAAATTTAATGAAGAGTGGTGATAGTGGATATTGCTTATAGATTAGACTGACTATCATTACCTTGGATGACAGCTCTTTGTGAGTTCTTGCACATCTACATGAGTTCAAGTAGAGCCTTCACTAGCATAATAAACTTGCTTGTTACCCTCACCATGTTCAAACACTGCAACAACACTTCAAAATCGGTGAGATCAAATGACAGTTTATATGGCTTGTAGCTGTATCATACAGCAAAACAATATTATTTATCCAGTAAATAATACTGTTTACTGTATGATATTTCTAGTAAACCATCTAAATTGGAATTGAATTGACATAGTACACACGTTTTACTTCTACTGAAATCATACGTCACCTTCAGGTCAAGAATCATTACAAGTTCTGTGCAGGAGTAAGTATGTGTTTGTTATAAAATCTGAATAAAGGTTAGAATTTGATTTACGCATCATCTTACACATCTGAAAATCGGTCACAGTTGTGGAAGTGTACTCAATTTTTGACATTTCTGAAATTTTGAGCGTTATCAGTTTCCTTTTTGAAAATCTCTTCTTTCATACACTTTTGTCTACTCTGCTATCACTTTTTCAACTCACTTGTTCTTTGCATACTGCTGTAAAGTGTGGCCGTTTGAACCAGTGCACTTCTTTTTGAGGTTCTGGGTTGTTTATCTGTCTATTTGAAACCTGTTTGATTTCTTCAGGTTTTTATTCCTGAACACCGGTTTGGAATCGGATGACTATGGTCCGTTGGATCTTAGACACTATGTTAGCCAAAATTATTCTTCTATGATTATCACAAGAGGGTTTTTCTCCTTTTTTTAACGAGAATGATCGGTGATGGAGACCAGTCTTATGTTAGTAACTTTGTCTTCCATACACTAGCTAGTACTTAAGCTACTTTGTTACGTTAATCTCTCCCCTATCTCTATAGCAAGGTGTCTTGTTGCGTTGAGTCTTCTCAGATCTAAATAACCTGTACATCAGAGAATCGAATTTTAAATCTCATTCAGACAGACTTGGTGTTGGGCAAATACAGCGTATTTGTGGGCTAGCTGAACTGTTCTTCAAAGTGTTCCATCAAATGGTGCAACCACCTCTACTGAGAAGTTCTTAAATACGCATTCTTCTTGGCAATAGTATCATTGACCAGTGTTTTTTCCAACCAAGTCTCTTTGAAAGACCTTAGTTATTGGCTTGTTTTACATAAGATCAAAACTTCGTCTATCTCTTTCGTTGTAACTACTCACCACTGCTCGCGATCATTATAAAGGCTTTTAATTAGCTCACATTTAATTTGCTTTCGCCCCTCATCATTTTGACTGTGTGTATCCATATCAATTAGTTTATGTAGGGCTTCAGGGTTCCACTAGCTTTTAATTACTGTTTTTAAGAGTTTTACAAACTGCCTTCATCTCTGTTTTTACAGAGGAATGAATATTATGCCAGGCTTTATAGGGATGATAGTTGTTGTTATGTCAGATAAGGACCTAGTTACTTCGTTGTCAAATGCAAGTTTGGTGTTCTTATCTTCCAAACTAAATGAGGAAGGTTTTGCAGCACTTTTATTTCTTAGGATAAAAACATACCTGCTTGAAGTAACGCTTGGTTACAGTTCAATGAGGTACTCCCAAAAACATATTCTCCCACTTATCTTCTCCAGTGATGGCTTATGGTGAGTGATATTATCTAATTGTTTCTATCGTTTACTTAATGTCATCGGATACCAGTATGAAACACTGTCTCTCCTTATTCCTAAAATCAGTACTGGTTAGAAAAAGGTGATTACTGTAATGAAATTGTAGGAAACAATCACCATTTTCGGTTCGCCCATATAAGATTCCATAGATGTCCTTTAGGTACCTTTATGTTTGGCTCAACTTCCCTTCCTCAGCCTTGAAGTCATTTGATGGTATGAATGTATATGAATGATTTTTTTTGAAGCGAAATTGACGGCTTTCGGCAAAGGACGTTCTTTTCACCGTCCAAGCTTCAGCTTGTTCGCATTTGGGTAGAGACTGAAAATAGGCATTGATGAGTAACACAATCCTTCTTACAGATATACTTCACGGGACAACACATTGATGGCCATCAACTGTCATTCAATCTCGAAGTATGCATTCTTCTATGAAATATAGGTTTTTTCATCCACCAGCATTTTCTAGAGAACTATCTATCAAATTTTCGGACATTCCAAAAGGGAACTTCGCAAAGCCATCGCAATGACTGGGTGATATCAGGTGAATAACCGTAGTTGAGTCTTGTCAGCATGTTTCAGAGACGGAACATGTATCCGTGGGCTGAGATCTCAAAGAGATCTGTTGTCCACTTTTGTATTGGGTGCGGGTTTTGCGAGAATAAATGTGAAATTATTGTTATTTCACCAACTGGGATCGCTAGTAATGTTCATAGGGTAAAAAGCCAAGAAAACTATCTGGTTTAATAATTGCAATGAGGACAGGTAGTGAAAACAAGAGGATGGAAAAAGTAGGAAGCTTACTCTTAGATGGGTTTTGTGTACTGCTGAAAGTGTGTGAGCGGTCTCTACTTCCTAGCTACTCAAGCATGTAAGTTGCTGTCTTTGTGAGGTACTTGAGAGACGAAGTGAAGTAATTTGGAAGAACTTCAGGACCCGAGGGAAAGGTCACAGCCATTATAAAAGTACTCATTTTTTATGTTCATACTTACATGACCTAACCGCTAGTGGTGAGAAGCTGTTGGGTAGGACAGAATGTACAGTGTTAGATTGGATGTTTTCTTGCCCCTTTTCCTGGAGAGGAAAGGAAGCACAATTTGAATGCTGATCAATCGGGAGAAAACCTACCTTAGCACTGCTGTTCAGTCAGCAGTATGGCTTCATTATGATGGTAACTGCTTTCAGTCTCACCACTATCCAACATAGCTTTTGACTTGATACAGCATCAAGGAAAAAACGTCCCGACTAGCATAGCTCTAGGTTATTAGGATTAGCCAGCTAAAGTACCACATCACAGTAACAGCTTATAATCGTAAGTTATTATATAAGTTTTAAAATAGTGGAATAGTTATCGGTTTATTTCTTTTAATTTTTAGGCAAGATCTAAGGAAATCTTGACTACCAGGTATAGCAATTGGTGTTAGGGTTAGTTAATTTCCAGTTGTAAATCTTATTGCTTTCCATATCCAATTTACTTGTTACTTGAATGTTCAACTAAAACATAACATGTTTTCTGCAAGTGAAGTGTTTGGCGTAAATTACCAACTAAGTCTACTAAAAACCAAATTAGAGGATTTAAGCTACTTACCCATATCTACTCGTCTTACTTAACTTTATAACTGGTCACTATCATCATGTGCTAAAAGCCCTTAGTCTGTTTGTGAAAGTATTCATCTACTTAAGGTGGCTGAAGTGTTAGGATCCAGTGGTTGTAGGCTTTAGCTCATATGGTTCCAAATCAAAAGATATTTAGTTTTTTCAAGCAGTCAATATCTATTCATTACGCATGCTCACCTATCTTCTCATAATCTTTTGACCATATTTGTAAGTCATGATTCTTAGTTTTTCTCTTGTTACTGAGACAAAATTTTTCTTTTTTTTTAGAGTGTACAGTAGCTAGAACGACAACCATATTTGGGCTTGAATGCCTCATAGACTTTCCTCTTTGTGATGACCTCTACAAGTAGTGACATTGTTCCAACGGGCACAGTTATCAAGGAAAGGTGGAGAGTTTTTAAAAAGATTGGCGGTGGCGGTTTGGTGAAATATATGAAGCAGTTGATATGGTAACCCAGCAAAAGGTTGCTGTTAAAGTTGAGTCAGCCCAGCAACCAAAACAAGTGTTAAAAATGGAAGTCGCTGTACTTAAACGACTACAAGGACGTGCACATACATGTCGTTTCATTGGTTGTGGAAGGAATGAACAATTCAACTACATAGTAATGAGTTTACAAGGTAAAAATCTGGCAGACTTAAGACGATCAACTCGTCGTGGTTGTTTTACCATAAGTACAACTGTTCGACTAGCTCGTCAAATGCTGGTCGCTATTGAAAATGTTCACAATGTTGGATTTCTTCATAGAGATATTAAGCCGTCAAATTTTGCATTAGGAACTGGAATTGGTCCTGGAGCTGTTAATCCACGACAAATTGTACTCCTCGACTTTGGTTTGGCTCGTCAGTATACAACGGCGAATGGCGATATTCGTGCTCCGAGACAAGTGGCTGGGTTTCGTGGTACCGTCAGGTATGCTTCTGTCAATGCTCATTTGAACAAGGAACTTGGAAGACATGATGATCTTTGGTCATTGTATTATATGCTTGGTGAATTTATTGTTGGAGAACTGCCTTGGAGAAAAATTAAAGATAAAGAACAAGTTGGTTTGATGAAACAAACCTTCGATCATAATCAACTGTTGAAGTTTATGCCGCGTGAATTCAGACCATTTCTTGAGCATATTCAAAACCTGACTTATTTTGATCGTCCAGACTACATGTATTTACATTCATTGCTCAATGCATATATGGAACGTCGCAGAATAAATGAAGCTGATCCTTTTGATTGGGAGACAACAACCGAACCTAGTCCGGCTGGTGCTATTAATGAAACCAACCAGCATCATACAACACAAGCAGTAGCGATTACCCAACAAGCTGCTCAAGTCACTGTAACTGCTGTACAGGGTGCGGTAGATGTCTCTAAACCCCGTAAAGGTATTACTTCTGGGATGGGTCAGAATCGTGCAAGCGTTGTTGGTGCAACTGGTGTGGCAGGATCAAGTGGATACTTAAGTGGAACTAGGCTGGCTGGAAGTAGTTCCAACCTAGCTGTTGTAGGTCCTGGTGTGACAACATCAACTGCTAATGTAGGAAAGTCTTTCGACGTCACTGGGGTTCATGGTGGATCGAATGGTGCCGTTTTAGTTCCACGATCTGGTGCAATCTCACAACATCGTAATGTTGCCGATGAACTTGTGGGGAACCACAACTCTCAGCAACAGCAAAGCAACAATACCCCTCGCAAATCATTTCCGAATACAGGTGTGCGTTCTCATCGACCTGCCACTACTCCTCGACTTGTTAAGGAGGCTGGGGCTGCAAGAGCCCGTGAAGCTGCGTCCAGAGATGCTGCTAAAACTGACCAGTATTATTCTCCACATTCTCAAGCTATGCGTGTATCTCCTTCAGCAAAGGCTGGTAATACTGACTCAGGTTGTCAACCGACTGATACTTCTATACCGAACAGTTGTGTTTATCGCACAAATGATCCAAATAGACTTCAACCTGGTATGGGAACTACTAATAGCAACTCATCCGCTCGACGGCCTATAAGTGCGGGTGCATCTCATTTACGAAGTAGTGGAGGTACCATGGGAAGTACAGCAAGTGTTGCTGGAGCTGGTTCAGGTACGCGTTGTGATACAAGCTGTACGCATGCTGTTATTGTAATGGTAGACCAAGGTGAAAATAGCAATTATCATGATATGACGAAAGCTGTTCCGCTTACACTTGCAAGTCACTGGATTGCTGGTGGTGAGGACGATGAGTGTTCAGTTATTTCTGAAAATGAAGCAGCTGTCGGCAAAGTCAAAGGTGCTGGTTCGTCTGTAGCTAGTGTATCTGGCGGAATCGGTGGTGACTATGATGTATCTAATCATATGAACAAAGTTAATGGTGCAAATAACCAGTTACTTGAATGTGGTACCGGCGAGGGTGAAGAGGCATTTTCTAAAGTATCACCCGAAAATGGCAATAACAACAATAATTACTTTTGTAACTGTGACCTCAATGTAATAAACTCGCAGCGTATTTTTCAAACTTCAGCAGATATGAACAAAGATATTGGATCCGGTTCTTATATAGAAGCGGAATCAGATGAGAATAGTGGAGAGAAATCTTCGACTAATCCACCATATGGCATCCCTAGTAGACAAGTTTCCATCCCTTCTCAACTAAATTATGGAGAAGCTGAAACTGGCTCTTACAGACATAATATCAATTCTTTTGGAAGTCGAGGTGTTGCACGCAAATTATCTCTTGGTTTTCGTCGACAAAGGGCACTACCTCAATACCTTACTTCAGAATCAAAATTACTTCCAAGTTATGGTATGCCAACAACTAAAGAAAGTTGTTTAGCCAATTCACCTACACGTTTAAAGTCTTTCAAAAGTGACAATGATTGGAATTCTCGATATGGTGATGTTTTACCACAGTCACCAACTCCTTTCTCACGTTCTACAAGTCCATATTATCCTCATGGTTTAGAAATTGTTGATGAGAATATTAATGTCCCTGTTTCCAAACATTCACCATATATTCTACAAGAAATGGTAGATCGTAGAGGTAGAAGCCAGTATAAGGATGTTCATGATCGTGAACTGCGTGATACAGATAAGCTAGGTGGTAATGAGTTCTACTGTGATCCTCTTGGAAATTCCACTGGGCATAATAGTAATTATTTGAATGCATGGAAATTCAGTCAAACAAATAGTCGTTTCCCTACATCACCTCAGTTAAATCCTCCTAGTTCTCTATATCACTTGCAACCTAATGAATTACCTCATGAAAGTCAATCAAATCATATGAGTAGATCAGTTATTTTATCGCAAACTGGTGATCCACCATCTACTTATGTTGTAATGCGTCCATTACGATTAAATAATTCAAATGACGAAAATGAATTGAATTTAGTCAAACAAAATTAGATCCATCGCATTCATATATTCCTGATGGTCCAATCCCATACAAATCACCATTTGAATATTCATCTTCA